CTTCAGGGACAGGTACAAACAAAGACTAAACCCTCAGGTAAGTACCATGGATTATTCATGGACCTCTCATGGTGTTACAAATTAATATGCAGCACAGTAAGATTGTCACAGCCGAAATCGGTAGGGACATGACTGTGCTGCAAACGTTGATTTATTTAATACAGGAACCCTGTACCTATAGGGGCCAAGTAACCGGTTTAAAAAATCAAAATTTTGAACTGTTTCAGAATCTAAGGCATGACAGGCCGAGAGCTTGCATTGTGGCCCATAAGGAATTAAGACCAATCCCTATAACTAGGATTTGTTCTAGGGACATCATAACAATATTAATTGATTTTAGGAGAAGGGGAGCCACAAAACTCTATATTTGGCAAGTGCATATTTACCCCACGACGTATCATTGATTTTAAAATCTCAGGAAAAGTTAACAAAATGACACCTCGCAGAGTGTGATAGGTATGCTAGGTCTAGATTTGAAATCTTTGAAGGAGAGGACTTCACCAAATCACTCCCCGAGATTAAATGGTCCAAAATCTTGGTTTGTGAACAGGTCCAAGAGGTGCAGGACTCGTGAGCCGACCAAGTCCCGGACATTTTAGGAATGGGGTACGAGTCTACCCAGGCATTTAATTCCTGGGTCTTGGTCGCCCACCCTGCATAATATATATGTACATTGCTCTCATTCTGATTCCAGTCTAATCGAAATTAGGGTCGATGGGGTACTTTTTTATAAATATTCTGTCATCAACACACTACTAGAAGGGCGTGATGGTAACGCTAAATTTGTCCACAAGCTTTATTATGTGGGTCACATCGAGCAACCTTTCTCTGCATATGGGGCACCAGCACGGGCTTTGGCCTGTCACGTATGTCACTCGAGTATGACTTATTCTTAGCCAGGTAAGATCCTCATTTCCTGCTCAAGCTCTCGGGGGCCACCTACGCACGCAACTGACACGCAAGAGCCTCGCTGACGGCCCCGTTTAATAACTTTTAAAAAGGTTAAGGAGATTGTAAAAATTAGCCTTTAGAAAACTCAGAAAAAAGTCATCGACATACTTCAAATGGGCTTAATATTGTAAGTGATGTAAAGCCCAATCACTCAAATCATTGATCAGCATATGTACAAAACGCCTCCCATTGCAAAACCATCAGCTTGCACATACATTTTGTTATTACATTTAAAATATCTGTTCATTTCAAAGAAAATCCATGAACAGTTCAAGCGGCACATTGATAAATTTTTGCAACGTTTTTCCAGCGTTAAAACCTTAAACATTTTTGTTTTTCATTGATTATAGAATTTGTGACACGATTTCTCTTATTTTTATTGTTTTGTTCATTTAAATACAATTCCTGTCAATTATTATTTTATCATTTATTTATTTTACATACCATTTAATACTTATAAGTAAAAGTAATACAATAGTAAAAATATACGTAGATTGAAATTAAATTAAACATTTTACGTTACAAGTTACATGCATTACATGTTTTCTTAATAAAATAACATCTTAGACTAAAAACATTGAAAAACTAATCGAATTACAATAGCAAATATATTATTATTAATAATGAGAACAGCATTATTGAAAACGAAATTAAATATAATATAGTAGGTAATAGAAATATGTAGAGGCGTCGGTGGCCGCAACGGTTTAGGCGTTGACACGGCGCTTATCATTGTAAGGTAAAGGTCCTGGGTTCGAATCCAGCGTCCGTGCATTCGAACCCGACATACTTACAAATGGGCCTTTTTCAAAATACCGGCACCCCGAGGGTTGATATAACCTCTGCTGTTGAGAACCCTCATAAAAAGAAAAAAAATGTAAAATTTAGAAAATGTATATACATATATATAATGTTATACATTATATTATTATTATTATTATTATATTTCGATTATATTATTATGAAATATATAATATTTCTATTACATTATTATGAAATATATAATATTTTATATATACCTATATAAAAATAAAACGGAGAATAATGTTGCTTAAGAGGAAATACTAAAAAAATAATACAAACAAAAATACAAAAAAATTTAAAAAATGCAAAAAAGAAAAGAGTAGCTGGCGATTAATTTTGGGAAATTTCCCGGAAAATTATCTTTTAATATCGGAGATTGAGCAGTTGAGAAAATCTGTTTGTGAATTATTGACATCTTTCAACATTCTATTATCATAAATAATAAGTAAATAATAATAAAAGACATATACATAAAATGTGTCTACGGGTTAAAACATTTTTTTTTATTTCTTAGTGGCTTTTAGAATGTAGAAAAAGGCAATCTCGACTTTGAGCAATTCTCTTATGCCTTCATGAATATAACAATATTTAAATCCATATATGTTCAACGGTCATAATTGAACGAATTTTTCATCTCATTTAACGTTATATCACTATAAAAAGTGTTGTAATGGATTTTTTAAAACATCAAAAGAAGTTTTATTTATAAACCTTTTTTATTTGTAATTGCAAATTTTTTCCTTAGAAAGATCTCGCTTAATAAACCTAAAATCAATTTTAATAATTGATAATACTTATATTATCAGTGATTATTTATAATTGCAGTTTTAGGAAAGTAGCGTAAACTTATCGATCTTGGTAACTTATGAAATCTGACTGTTATCCGTTCAACCGTTGCAAAATACCGATCGCAGATGCGGGTGCACCTGTGATTAAGCCGTCCTTTGTCACCGGCCGAATCCTGGATCCTATCCATTATTCCAAGGGAATTATACGGTTCATTATCGACATCTAATGGGGTCATTAAAGTGGACCGAAGGGGCCAGCCGTCCTCTCTTTACTCCTATAAATACTGGGCCGAGATGAAAGAAACTGTTCATTAGCAGGGGACGTGTTGGTGCAATAAATCCAGGGTCTATTTGCCCCCTCGTCACTGTTATTGTGGAGACCGATCCAGAAATGAAGAGGACGGCTTTACACGGCTTGGATCTGGCCCAAACAGGCTTCTCCGGAAGTGTACGGTAGAAAAAAAATCATCTTTACCTTGATCATAAGAAAACTAAAGAGTTTTAAGCATTTCGAGGCAATAGTAAAAAAAGATTACTGAATAATTCACAAAACTTAGAATTGGGTGGTTTCCTCTTTAATCTGCGGGGTGATCCGATAATTTGGTTGTCGATTGTTCTAAAAGAAGAGAAGATAGAACAAACTGATGGGAACGACCAAATACACTACAAAAATCTACAATGTTATGTAATAACCCCGCTTTTCTTAAACTTTCATCTCTTGTGTTCTTTCTCTGTTTCATCCTAGAAGATTGATTTTCGTTGTTTTAGTAAAGTACGAAATTGTTCTGTTTGGTTGTGTGGTATTGAGGTCTCCATTGCATGAGAATTGCTTTCCTAGGTCCCTCCTCTTTTTCTAGCTGTCTAGCTATTAATGGGCAATTGCATGCTCTGTTGTCTCTATAGGTAATGGTCTCTAATAATGGTCAGTTGTACTAGACCTTGTTCGTAGAATTTCCCATTTTTGAGCCATCTTTATACTAGATTATGCTTAAAGTGTTAGATGTATAGACCAATTTTTTACTCACTCACTCACTGTAACTCTTTATGGATGAAAACAACTTCAAATATTATGTGCCAAGCTTTCACCCTATTTTAATGTCATCATAAGTTAACTGGCATACACGAAAGAACGTGCTCTTGATAACATGTCGAGTTAAATTCAACTCCAGCTAATTCCTAAAGATGTACGATAATTAGAAAAATGCCAAAACTGGGCGTTTTGCCCTATTTTGCCATTTTCCAAAGTTATCGACATTTTATTCATATTATACATTCTGTTCGTCTGGACTGGGCTGAATAAACAGTTTATATACATAACAATCGGTTAACAAATGTAAAAAGTCATGAAATTAGAAAAATTCTTATTATACGCTTTGTTGGTCTGGAGCAGGCTGAATAAACAGTTTACAACATAAAAAAAATAAAATATGTATGATACAGCAGGTGAACAAATTTGGCGTTTGTGAACAAAATTGGGCCTAGAAATGATGAATGGTGGAGTGGTACGGTGTTCAATCCTTTTAAAAATATAGTTCCTACTCATAGTAAGTAGTTTCCCAACGATCCGGATCTTCTTTTAGCTCATCATCCGGTTGAAGGATTTCTACATTCATGTCTCACGACATGAATTGCATCCATTACTGCTTTGACTAGCAAATTAATAGAAATGATGAATGATGGAGTGAGTGCAGTGTTCAATCTTACTTTTGCAATTTATGTCGAGAGACGTGGTTGTAGAAATCCTTCAAACTGATGATGAGCTAAAAGCTCGAAATCGGGACGTTGAAAAACAACTTACCGTGAGTAGGAACTATCTTTGTAAAAAGGATTAAAATTGGGCCTTCCTGCTTTTAGTTTTATTTATAATTTTTGAGTACTAAATGAATTTTTAAGAAATCGAACAAGAAAAGTTTTATTGTAAATGGTTCTTTCATGCCTTTCCGTCTCTAGTCCTACATACAATTTACCATAAGTCTCAAAGAGAGCTAGAAAGTCAACCGCATTACAATTTGAATGGAAAACAGCATTTACATCAATAGTACCCAACATTTTACAAAGGTGTAGAAAATAATTTAATTGTTAACAACAAATGATGACATTCAGAAACTCACTAGTCTAATTTTATGAACGATTTATTTTATTTGTCATCAAATTGGGGACTTTTTCTCCAATGTTTTTTATTTAAAAAAATATTTTTGTGTAGTGTGTTTTTAGGATAAACATCACTCACTTATAAATAATTGTTGTTCAGCAATTTGGCGCAATTAATACCAATTATCTGACAATTTCCTCTAAAGCTGAATCGGTGTGCAAACATTTCTTGGTCGAAAAATCAACATGAACGATCAATTTTTTTCCTATTTTTGAATATTTCATTTGAAGAAGTAAAACAGAAGATGGATGTGTTTAGACGACAACGTGTCGCACTGTCCATCCTAGGAGTTTATGTGCCCGGCACGTATAAATTCAGATACGTCGGATTGGCGATAGAATATTTTTACTTTTATGTCGTTTTCATATACATCAATATTATGTGCTACGTTTACTTCGACGCGTCCATTCGATTTATTCACATTGATTTCATGAACCGTATCGTCTCCGGTGCTACTGCCATCTCCTCAGTCGCCGCTTTAGCGAAGATACTTATGCTACACAGGTAAGTACTATTGTCTTCAGGCGACTTCCGTTTCTTAAAAGTTCAATTTAGAAACAGGTATTTGCTGAGAGATATTCTTGATTCTTTGTGCAATTTCGAGGCGGACACGCCGAGAGGGAAAACAGTGGCGAAGGTCATACGAGGTTACGAAATTGCCGTTCTCAGCATCATATTGTCATCTAATGCCAAATTGGGCATTGATTTTAAAAGGCCGAGCCCTTACTTCGCACAGTACGCTGACGGCGGGCCTTTTATCCGTGACTATATACTTTATTTGTTGTACGGCTGCTTAGTTCTCGGGGTGAACGTCTTCGTGGACACCCTATTTCTCTTCATTTGTAGTCAGATTTGCCATAAGCTTCACGTTATAAGCACCACTTTAACAACTGTAGGGCCACAGGCAGAGGTTCATAATTTTATTAATTACACAAAAAAAGGTATAACCGTAAACATAAAAATATAGTAATAAATAGCTCTTCGTTTTAAGCAAACTAAGGAGGAATCGTTAGTACCGTTCGACGAAAGCGATGAGAAAAAGGTTACTGCATCCATACAAGAGCACATCAAAATGCTGCAGTGAGTATCCATTCAAAACACATAATTTAAAGTTTAAAAATATATGAAATGTTTTCGTAGTATTATCAAAAGAGTGGAGTGGTTATTCAACGAGATAATATTTTTCCAAGCGTTCTACACTTTTGGTAGCCTCTGCCTCATACTTTTTGCCTCTTCCCAGGTAAACTTATATAAAATATATATATATATTGCCTCGTGTTAATTTTCTTAATTAGACGGACAAATTGGCTGAAGACGCTTCCAGGCTTTTTGCTATGACTATATCACTGAGCATGGAACTATTTCTGTTCTGCTGGGCCGGAGAAATGATCAAATCTCACGTAGGGAAAAGAAATTTTGTTTAAGTTTATGAATAGTTGTAAATGCAGTGTTTATTTCAGTGCAGTGACATACATTTCGCCTCTTATAACAACGGATGGTATAGATGCGGGAAAAAGATCAAAAAAGCTCTGATGATAATTGCCATTTTCGCTTCAGAACCGGTGACTATGAAGAGCGCCAAATTGTTCCACCTCACATTGCACACTTATGAAGCTGTAAGTCACGTGTAATTGATTTAAGAATAAATGAAAATTTCATCTAAAAATTCGTCTATGTTTTCAGGTGGTGAGAGAGACGTTCTCATATTACACACTCATGTACCAATTTTTTAATCAAAAATAGATAATAAATTAGTAAAATAAATCGAGTAGCAATAATGGCTACTAAGATCCGAGTGGTATGTCAAATGAGAGGATAGTGAACAAATTAATATTAAAGATATAAAAATTTATGTAGTGTCGCATTTTAGTACTTTCACAAGGACAAATTTAATCATTGAAATCTCTTATTAATATAAATTACTATGATTCATCATATTCTGTATGATATGTAATAAAACATAAAACACTTTTATGTTTATAAGTATAATAACAATAAAAGTGAGTAGTTACAATGCACCACCAAATATGATAATTGCACGAAAACGTTTTATTTAAGAGTAGCACTAGTTCGAAGTTTTCCTTGTTTCTTCAAACGGTAGATTTTCTGGGTTTTTTGGGAGAGGGAGAGTTTTAAGGCTTATATTGAATCTTCCCTTTTATTTTCTGATTTTTCTCACGTTTTAATCATACTAATTTTTACTAATCCTGTTTCTCTAGCCAAGTTATGTTCAGAAATAATTAGGGCAATAACAGACTGTCTTTTCAGTCTTATTGTTTACTTTTTTGTACGTCAAGGCCTCGTAAATTATCGATAAAATAACACAAATAACAAACACAAATCCATATAAAACTTAAAGAAAATAAAAACGATAGCCCGGTTAGAATTCACACTACCGCAGAATAGTCGATATTCCTCGGGATAATCAAGGATAAACTCCTGTATTCACGCTAATAAATTCATTCGTTCCTATAAATAACACATGTCACATATACAGAAGTACAAAGAGCTATTACAGTTAAAAAATATGTGACCATGAGATATTGGATCAGCGATAAATAGTGCCCCAACACAACGCGTAGATCATGGTGGATGTCGAATTTCTGTCTTTGCAGGCTTTTTTTTTTTTTTTTGACATTTTGTGCTCTTTAAGCTAATTTCTTCACACAACGGGTCGCTTCATAGTCAAACCACCATTATGGCCTATGCGCAACATGGTAAATATGACCTTTTCTCTCCTAGACCCAGTCTCCGCAGGCCAGGGAGCGATTTTATTTTTCAATAATTTAGAAGTAATTCTTTAGTGTAATAAAAGTAGTTTTAGATAATATTAATAGATGTTTTAATAAAACATTTGAACAAAATTCGAAATTTTTTCATTCAAACTGGACACATCTTTGATTTATCAATGCAAAATTATCAAAAAAATGCATCGATTCTTTAAGAGCATCGACCTGGTAATGATTTAAAACAAACATGAAATAAAAACTATGTTTTAAAAAATTATTAGAAGGGGAATAACTCTCGCCTAAAAAACGTGCGAACGACCCCCTGCTGTATGCAATTTGAACGAAAAATCCAAGTAATTGATTGTTAGGTAAGCATTCAATTGATCAAATATTAAGCACCTAATTATTTAAAAATTGAAAAGTGATTGAAATGTTTTTGTGTACAAGACTAATTTTTATGGCAAGGAAATAACATTTAGTTAGGTATCCCACGGGCCTAAAATTTAAGGAAGCACAAGTAGTTTTGCAGCAGACGGTCCCTCGCGCAGATTATGATTGCTCCCTCATTCGTCACAGTGCTTCGAAAATGTTGAACTCTTTTTCCGATACTAGGACACACCAACTTAATAAAAATTACTTATGGTGGAAGAAGCTCAGATACAAACCAACGAGTACCGCGAAACTTAAAGCTAAAGCAAAACTTTGGAACATTTACTCGGACGAGATAAACATGAAATGTACCAGTGATAGACAGGCGAAGAACATACAATGAATGGAAAAACTAATGACTCCCCCACTAAAGAATTATACAAAATTAGAATTATACCCAATGTAATCTATTCACAAGGAACGAAACCCTTGCGTACAATGCAAAAGAAAAAAACAATTTCTCAAAAACTTTTAGTGCTAAATTATTTCTAGTTTTATTACTTGAATGAGTCCAGTTGTGAAAAAAATTGTCTGCTCGAAACAATTGTCCAGGTATCATCAAACATTGTACTCCTCCACTATTGAAAAAGCTGCAGTTTAATTAGTTAAATGGCTTCTGTTTTTTTAGAAAAAAAATTTTACTCGTAATAATTGTCCAGGAATAACCAGATTACCTTGTAGTTTGGTCCTTTTTGATCATTTGGGCATTTGGGCTTATTCTCGTTGTTTTTGTTTCTCAGTGGTTCAATCTTCACACTGGCCAACCACTGAATATCGCGAAAAGCCGAAACAAGTCTGACAGATTAAAATAGCGAGGATAGGCGGATCAACATGGTCAGAAACGACATGTATATATATATGTAGATATATATATTTATCAAAGCTATATTTCACCCCGCAGACTCTATGAGAAAATCGCCCAAATATTACGTTGCAGTTCCATACATTCCAGGGTAGTATTTTTTAACTTCTCAGTACTTGAAAGGATCATTGCAAGTACTGACAAAATTATTGAGGTTACTGGTCTATTCGGTGATACCGGGCGACGATGTTTTGTCAAAATTGTACAATATTCCTTATAAGATAACTATGTATATTTTAAGTATTTAAGTTGCATTTTCGATATACACAGTTTAAAATGTAGGAATAGCTATTTAGATTTTTCTTCTTAGAAAAAAATTATATGTAGTAGGGTCGTCATTACCACCGTTATCTGTAATTTTGCAGATAATCTTGTTTTAATATTAAATGAGACTCATACCTTCTGTACTGATACTTCACCAAAGGTTAAGTATTTTTGTTATAAGAAATGAGAAAAAGTATCGAAAGAAAAATATGGAGTAAAAACTATAGTAGGAAAGATACTTTTTCTCCATCTTTAGTTTCATGGTTTTTTTACATGCAATATCACTACATATTACATTTTTTTAAGTAAATTCATTACTATTTAAACATTTATATGGCGCCCATCATCAGATCTATATAAAAAAAATTTAAAATTTTATTATATAATTTCTTTTAAAAAATATATGACCATTTTGCATCGACAAGCCGGATGGCCAAGATGGAAGAATGTGATTATATTTTATATATTTTTAATAGCAACATGAAGGTAGGCGATAATCATTCAGAAATCGTGAGATGTGGTCTGGTGTGATGTAGGTTTCAGAAAAACATTTTCTTCATCGTGCCAACGTTTCGATCTTTATTGAGATCATCTTCAGGGCCTGGGATTTACAAACATTGTTTACATTTAACTAATACATTTAGGATGTGGAAAAGTGAATTTATACAATGCAAAATATATTTTATATTCAATCAAATTATTTCTACTCACTCAAAGTGTTTGTCTTCTGTGTAAATGTGCCATTGTTGCGTGTTGTGTTGAGAGTGTCAGTGAGATATTGCTGTTTTATGTTTATATATGTTGGATTTTGAAGGAGTGGGGAAGGAAGTCGGTATAGAAAAGACATTTTTGTAGATGATAATACAATTTCATTGAACAATAAAAATTTCGTGGGCGTCGGTGGCCGCAACGGTACCGTTGACACGGCGCTCATCACTGTAAGGTAAAGGTCCCGGGTTCGAATCCAGTGTCCGTGCATTCGAACCCGACATATTTACAAATGGGCTTTTTTCAAAAACATCGTCACCCTGAGGGTTTATATGACCTCTGTTGTTGCGAACCCTCGTTAAAAAAAAAAGAAAATAAATAAATAAATAAAAGTGAATTTTAATATTATCACAAAATACACTAGATTGTGAAGGGTTTTTAAAATAGCCCACTTTTTAAAATAATAATTACCCAATAAACACGAAGAAATAAATTAGGACTTAAATTGGCTCTTCTTGGTAATTGTTTTCATCTTCATAAGACCAAAGGACATCCCACGATGCGATTTACTAGCTTATTAACGTTCACCGGTCAGAGCCGGAGTAATTATAACTTCCTTCAACTTGTACCAAACGATTCCCTTCGACGATTAATCATCCCAGTGTCAGGCCGATCGTTTGTCACGTTTATTTTAACTTCAAAAAGGACTTGCGGTTTGTGTGTTTTCTCTTGCCCAAAGGACTACTTTTCAACTGGTATATCCGTGACAAAGAACTTACAAGATCACGCTGCAGTTGGATTTTTAATATGAACATGTATAGATCGAGGGATTCGTGTTATTAAACATTTAAAGCGATACGAACCGGGCCAGAAAAGCATGTATAATTCCGACCAAAATAATTATAGCTTTTTTATTGGTTTTGGACTGATGGTGTAGAATTAAATAAACCAATTGGTTGAATTCTTGTTCCTCTTCTCTCTAGTTGGGAGAAAGGTGAAATAAAAAAAACTTCCTTCAACTCATATTTACAATACTCTCTATTTTTCAATAGAATGTAGAATCAATTTTTATAGAATCAATTCTCCACATTTCTTCCAAATATTTTGTGAGCTGCTTTCGTTTTTTAAAATTCTTTTTGAAACTCGACCTTCTAGAAGGGATTGTTTTGATCTTTTAGCTTCCGTGTTGGTCTCAAGCCGTAAAGTTGTGTGATGACGTTTGACCATGTTTCTAATTGAAAATTTAAACATATTTCTGTTTGTTCGTTGTTACATTTTACCATTTCATACATCCCTTTCCAATTCCTTTATTATTGGTGGGAAGGTATTTTCGATCGGGTAGAAATGATGGCCAGTTTCTCTCAAATGATCCTTGAAGACCGAATGTACGCTTCAGTTGAGTAGGTATTTTTTTATTTTCGAAGAAAATTTCCTTCCACTTTGGCCCACGTAATATTAATGTATTAATGATATTAATGTAATATGTAATGTGTGGTGATTAGTGACCGTTAATCGATATTTATTTAGAAATCGTGAGATGCGGTCTGGTGTGATGTAGGTTTCAGAAAACCATTTTCTTTATCATGCCAACGTTTCGATCTTTATTGAGATCATCTTCAGGGCTCAAAGTGTTTGTCCTGGGCACTCTCGACAAGACACGCAAGAATGGCACAATTACGCAGAAGACAAACACTTTGAGCCCTGAAGATGATCTCAATAAAGATCGAAACGTTGGCACGATAAAGAAAATGGTTTTCTGAAACCTACATCACACCAGACCGCATCTCACGATTTCT